GACTGGCGAAGTAAACAGGAGTACACGGAGCAAACCCCCAAAGCACATGGATAACGTGCAAACTCTATGCCTACAGGGCAAATGTGGGAATCAAACTCTCAAACATGGATGTGCGAGGCAAACATGCTAACTGCTAAGCCACTGTGCCCCCCTAAACAACAGCATGTTTGTTTTTTTTTGTTTTTTGTTTTTTTTATAAATCTAGTTATTAGTAGGGTTAGATTGTGTGGCACATCCACCATACTATTCCTGTGAACATGCTGTGAGCTGTTCCTATGGAAATGCTAACATATTTGAAGAAATGCATAAATATAAAACTATGATTGGCATTACAGCTGGTGCTACTGTCAGAGCCATACCAACAATTCAAGAATTCAACAGTGCTGTGGAATAAACAGTAGATTAACATAATAATACTAATTTATATGGGTTTGAGAAGATCCTGGATACACTGCTTCATTACAGTGTCTACATTGGACTATCTAGATAAAGTGTTATCCTTTACGTTGTCAAGTTACAGTGCAGAAAGCTAAGCAGATGACATTTCTATCTGAAACACAAAATTGTGAGCTACTTTTAGTTTAATCACCACACTTACTGTTGCAACCTTCACTCAAATTTGTTCTTAACGATCAAATTTCTTCTCATATTTGTGTCAACTCTCTGACTTGTTCCATTAAAGCACCCTTGTGAGAAATATAACTGTTACTGTTTTTCCAAAGTGGTGGAAATATTGTAAAGTTATGGATTAAATGTCATGTTTGTCAGCGTGTTATAGATGGCAGAAGAATGTGGACGTAGCTGGTGACTTGGATGTAAAAGAGTGGGATTTATAGCCTGGAATCTCTTGAACAATTTTATCAAAGGCCCATTCCGGCATAGCATTTTTCTTTGGCCCATAAATCAGTGCTCCCGGGGCTGTGTGCCTGGACAGTAAGAGGAGATAGATGAGCCAGGGGAGAGGTCAATGGCTATTTTTCACCCCAGAGTCCTGTCACAGCCTCTGGTGTCTGCTGCACCTTTATGAATTGCTCTATTACTGACTTGTGTTTTTAATTTGTTTTACCCTGTTTGGGTAAAAAAAAAAAAACAGGGGCATTAGGACCCCACTCAATCCTGGCCAGATAGAGATAATGTATTGATCGTTAAATCACTTGTTTACTGTGGCTGCATGTGGTGTTATATGAAAATTTAACAAACTTTTGAAAAATGAGACTAGGACTTGTCCCTGTCTGAAATGTTACATGTTACATATACATACATACATACATAAATACATACATACACACACACACACACACACACACACACACACACACACACACACACACACACACACACACACACACACACAAACACACACACACAGATGTTAGTTATATATCTTGGTATTGTGTGTCTTTTTTACAGATTCAACAAATATTTTCAACTCTTAAGCCATATGTGCCATATACCTTTAATCTAAAATATTTTAAAACATTATGCCAACAGTGCATGGCTCATCATTACTTTAATTGGTTATTATTATTATTATTATTATTATTATTATTATTATTATTATTATTATTATTTGTGAGTGCGTATGTGATTGTGCCCTGCGATGGACTGGCACCCTGTCCAGGGTGTACCCCGCCTTGTGCCCGATGCTTCCTGGGATAGGCTCCAGGTTCCCCGCGACCCTGAAGCAGGAATAAGCGGTTGAAGATGGATGGATGGATTATTATTATTATTATTATTTTAAATGATTTATCTATTACATTGAAAGCACTTGCCATATAATAATCATCATAACAACATGACATTTTATTCATCTGAACATGCAATGAATAAAAAAATAATACAAGCCATATATCCTTGGAATATTTTAGAAATTTTGCATTTAAGCAATACCAGAAATTCACAGTTTGACATTTGATGACTGCCTTCCACATATGATATCTCTATCTCAGTTCTATTTGAATAATTAGTATAGTGTAATTTGTGCTTCTTAGAAACAATTATGAAATTATTTGAAACTTTGATTTGGTATTCTTTTACATATGCATCTGTAGCAAAATGCACTCCTTGTTATTAAAAATATATATATTCCAAACTTTTGTACAACAGTGTCAGTTTTCTCCCACTGACAAATTGATAAGTCAGTACAGATTTGTATACGAATCAGGCATGTACAGTAATAATGTAAGTGCTATAAATTATAGATGTTACATGCTGTGCTTGTATGTATGAGGAAGACTCTCAAGTTCTCTCACTCTGAATCACATCTCTGATTTATTCATGCATTTGTCATGGAGGCTTGTTGCTGGTCAGGTAGATGCTTTCATCCACTCCCCTCTGATTGAAAGGCCTTCATTTGCTATGCGTCCATGTAAAGTGGACGTCTCTCATCACCATGGCGACCTTGGATTTCCAGTCACTTTCATTTAAATCGGAGTCTCAGCATGATGTTCCGTCAGCAGTGTGCGTGAAAATGGCTTTGGAGACTAATAAAGCCAGTGGCACCATCTGATTATTCACAACAAGGCTGAATCGAGACATACTAAGATCCCAAAAGGTTGAGGAATGAGTTAATGG